TTCACTGTACGTAAACAAGAAGTCTCTGAAACGCCTTGCTAATGATGCAATAGATTCTGATCTGGCCCAGAATGGCGATGTGAAGGCGCAGACATTCATGAAATTGTGTGAGTGGATTGAAATTAGTGTACTGACTCAGAATAACACCGCAACAGATGTGACTGAAGTATGTAAACGTGACAGTCGATTCCTGGACGAACTAGGATTGATTAGTCATGTTCAGATGTCTTTCGCGGTGCAGCAACGCCTCATGGCACACTTCAGCGACCGGTTGCAGTTCCATCGGCCTGGATCCCGCAGAGAACCAGAACTTTGGAAGAACACCTCAGTTGACCTCTCTGGCATGGCACTGACCCAACCGCAGGCTGCCTTGGCTGTATTCACCAAAGGCTTGGCGGCGATCTGGGCTTATCACCTGCGCTGCTCACCGTGTGCGCCTGGGCTGTCGACTGAGCTCGATAGGAAGCTGAAGGAGTGCCTATTGCCGGCCCTGCTGGGGGATGGTGTTCAACCTGCGATTTGATGGTATGGCTATCCCATGGCCCAGTTCTCGAAAACACTGCTCAGGTAGAACATCTATCCGAGCGACCAAGCCACTCGTGCAGCTCCTACTTACCGGAACCTATGAGAGCCCTCCGGATCTGCATCGAGGGCTGGTGGACGGTGTGCATGCTACGGGGGACCCGGTGTGCCGCATTATCGCCTGGTTCCGTGCCGGCTGTTGCGGGCGACCCGGCAGATGGCACACGTGCAGCGTTGTCCCCTGGTCCAGTGTCGTCCACAGTTCACGATGGCGTATCCATACTGCCAATTGCACATGCGGCTGGCAGTCTGCAGCTGACTAGCAGAGACCCGGTGCTGGATGCCATTGGCGACACTCGACCACTTGCGCGATTAGCGCGGACAGTATGCGGCTGCCAGCAGGAGATTAAGCCGAGTCTAAGCCCGGAGCAGATGCTTATGGTTGAGGTCTGCGATGAAAAGGGACTCTCATCTTGGCTTACGGTAGTGCCCAGGTTCCAGGACGGAACAGTTCTGAAGAAGACTGAGTCCAGACATGCACTCTGCATTCAAAACGGCCGCCGTTTGGTGGGCCTTCCGGATACATGTGTTTGCGGTGTAGTACTCACCGCACGGCATGCGCTCACCTGCGCAACTGGTGGCTATATGATACCCGGTCGTAATGAGGTGTGCGATTTGATCGCGCATCTTCTCCGAGAGGCCGGGACGGTGGACGTTGAGACAGAGCCGAGGTTGTTGGCTTGTGCCGGCGGGGACAGCCCGGCTGGTCGATCCGTCAACAGGTGTGCCGAAGCTCCTTAGCCTCGCTGTTCGTGGAGCGGAACAGTGGACTGAACTATTCAGTGGTGATGGGATTGTTGCGCACAAGATTGCCATTTTGTGTGCTTAGATGGGCCGTCACTTGCTTCAGAGGATGCCACCCATCATACAGTGACAGGCCGCAGTTGAACTCGTTTGTTGCCCAGTATCGCCAGGCTGAGTAGGCACTTGCCCTTGGCCGGGACATTATTTACTTGGTGTTATTCCTATTTTATTTTACTCCAATACCTACCAGTTCAACATAATATCATCAATGTTTAGGCTGTTGTGTTCAATCATTCACAAATTGGTTTTGAGTTGAGTTTGAGTTGATTTCCCTGATCACCACCTGGTCAAAACAATGGGACGTTGTATTTCTCGCCGGCCGAGCGCAGCGAGATAGGCGAGAAATGATTTTCGCGAAACATTTTCAGTTGCAAATATGGCATCTGGTGTGTTCTTTTTGTCGCTTTTTTTCCTGACTTATCAGTCAGTTTTGATTATCACCAGTACCCCTGATCTCCCACCCTTCATTTCTGTACATGTTATCATTGCTTTGTTGTCATTTTTTGCCGGGACGTACTTGCGAAGCCTACATGATGCCTAATCGCCATTGGAGATATACACCCGGTTTTTTCCCTCACAACTGCGTCCATCGGCTAGCTCGGTCTAGGAAAATTAATCTGACGATCCCAAGTGGTTCTGCATCATGGCCTATTTCTGCTATCCCGTCGACTGGCACGCCTACTCTATCTGAGACACTCTGTTCTCAGTCCTTGCTTCCATGCCTCAATCGTTATCCGGCCACCTACCCTCCACTTTGTGTTTTGTCGCTATTGCTCTCCATGTCTCTGTGCGTGCCAGTATATGTGGAGCAAGAAAAATGTTTTATTGCTTTTGTGTTCAATTGTATATTTTGATTTGATTTCCCCAATCACTTTAGTTTGATGACATGCATATTGACTTGCTGGTACAAGTGGCTTTTTCCTATGGAGCTGCCAGTGATTGTTGCAATGATGATGACGTCATCAACACTGAAATCCAAGAGCTAAATTGACCTACTTCATCCTGCTGTCTTGTGGACTGCGAGCAAAACTCTGATGCATGTGTTTATTGCGTCATGAACTGAGTTTTTTTGTTTTGCTATATGTTGCTAACTGCTGAATATGTAAGTAATTTGATTGTGTCACTTGTATGTCATTTTGGTCGCTCTTTGCTATTCTTTGCTGCTGCGCCGCTTGAGACAGACGTGTAAATCGTTTCGTTGTCTTTTTACTTGTATTTAATGTCTTTTCACTTGTATTTAATTATGTTGGCTTATTGCTACTGTATTCTAATTGCTGCTGCGCTCGAGTACATGGCAAAGCCAATGTACGTTTCATTTTTTGTATCACCAACACTATATTTTGTATCAGTGACTGAGCGCCACTCGAAGTTTGACAGCCATGCCACAGACTCGCATGAAAATCAATTTGATTGCATTTGTACAGTTGCTCGCATTGACCTTGCAAGTTCACCTTAATTTTACATTTTGCTTTGTATTGTTCAATGTTTTCAGCTGAATGATGTTTTATTGCCACCAGGGAGTCGTAGCCACCCGACTGCCACCAACTGGAGTCTAAAACGGACTCTGTATGCAGGAACCCACGATACTCTAGAATGACTGGCTTAGAGTACATGTACAATTTCTATATGCAGCTGAAGATCGCTATATGTAACAAACGGACAACTGTACAGACCTGCCGATACTTTTATCGTTTTCAGCAGCCACAACTTAGTCAGAAACAACTCTAACAAATTTGTGAGCTCCTACAGGTTGCGAGTTTCTAGAAAATACCACCTCGGACTGTAGACTATAACTAACACGAGGAGCTGTTAGCCAGTTAGTTGTAGAACGCCAGTACCATCGGTCAGTGTTGAGCAATGTTATCGCATGAGCTGATTGTTTAGTACCTGGTGATATTAGAGGACATAAAAGCGTGCCTTGTAGTCCTTTTTTCTTTGTTTATTTTTTCTTTACTATAAATTTGTCCTTTGCTCTCCATTCGAGTCCATTGTTATTTATTCATGTTTTATTAGAGCACTCCCCACAGACCCAAGATCTTCTTACGGGTGCCCTAAGAATAAAAGTAATGCATGCCGAAATAGGTATGGCGATGCAGCAGTGCGGATATGAGATGGAGCGCTTTTTCATCTGTCTGGAGTGAAATAATACAGACAAAACAGACCGTTGCGTGAATAAACTCCGGGTAGAACAAGACCATTGGAGGAGTAAAGGTGGGTCCGACATTGCAAAGTGTTATCTGCTGAGAAACAAAGTACAAACAGGTCCCAGAGAAGGGCACTCTTCTGGCCTAGGACGCAACGGAAACCAGTTCTGAATAATTTTCAACAGAAAAAAAAATTCACGGTTCGCGTGAGACTCGGCCAAAGGCCCAGTTTTCCGTATCCGCAGGAACGCCACCACCCTCTTGGATCAAGGCGCAGATGCAGCTCCTAAGCGGTGGGAGGTGAGTAGATCAGACCCACCACAAAGTGGTCAAAGACCGAAATCCCATTCACTGCATCCATGTTTCCCTCGTGCCAGGCCACGAGTTCCCAATTAACTGTGGGTCGCAGCACGGCTGGAAAAAATCTCACTATGCCTGCCTGCTTCAACAGAAGCTGAAAGAAATTGACATTAAAGAGAAGAGTGCAAGAATTGAGGCTGAATGGGAGGACGAGGGGTAACCAAACACTATCCGTAATGCACGTTTAATGATCTTGATCAGGTTATCATAATAATATTATTCTGTGGTGCGAAGAAAGTGTCCATATTATGCTTTACTCAGATACGCAAGAGTGGATTTTATTTATTTATTTTGACTACAGTCCATTCATTGGAAACTGGCACCCTAACTTTTTGGTGGCTCTCTCACATAGTTGAAGATATCGTGAAAACAACAGTACGTCCTGCATTCTGTGACCCGTGCAATTACTCCTTGCAACATTTGAGGGCAGAAAAATCCAAGAACAGGGAAACAGAAATTCAGCCAGGTTTTACAAAATTAGGACAGGTATGCCATGGCAAAATGTATGGAGAAGCCGATCCAAAACCCAGCTTTTTGAGATTTATAGTGGGTTTTTGAGCCTCAATTCGGCCCAATTCCGACTTTCAAAAGCCAGCGGGCCAGTTTGCGATGAATGGAACTCGTGGTCCATGACCAATTGACACGCAAAGTGCGAAAGAGGGGTGCCAACCACGGCAAGAAAAGAAAAGAACGGAATAAAGAAAAAGAGAAGAAAGAAGGATAGACAAGATTGTATTAAGGATACGTAGAACGAACATTTAGCTTAGGTTGTCAGGTGTTCATCGATGATCAAGCAAAGGTATTTTACGCTTTACGCTCAAAGCTGAGGAAATACTCATGCCGTCGAGCATTAGGGGACGGCTAGCGGGAGTGGTCGGAGTGCGGATATGCATGTACTGCGTCTTTGCAGTATTGAGTGGGTGGGTGAAATAGAATAATTTTTTAATTATGATCTCTCTGTGGCCACTGGTGACCTACCTGCGTGTGTGGGTGTATGTCTGCATATCGGTTTTTGGTTGTTGTGTGAGTCGAGTCTGAGTGTCGGTGCGCGTAAGAGTCTGGGTGTGATTGTGTGGATGGTTTTGCATGTGTTCTGCTCTACACTTGCAGCATTGACCGGATGCAAGAGATATGCTCACGACGCATCCGGAGTATTCGCAGGCCAAATTTCGACATTTGAGTACATTGCTTACTGTGATCGAGAAACCGATGGAGGTGGCTGGACTGTGTTTCAGAGAAGACAGGATGGCTCAGTGGACTTTTACCGTGACTGGAATGCATACAAACGAGGATTCGGATCAGCGGCTGGAGAGTTCTGGCTGGGTCTAGATATACTACACTATCTGACGTCACAAGCGGGTAGTACATATGAACTGCGTATTGATATGGTGTTCAAGACAACTGGAGAGAAGCATTATGCCAAGTGGTCAACATTCCGTGTTGAAGGTGAAGCTAACAATTACAGACTACACGTTTCAGGATTCTCAAGCCCTACCTTGGTGGACAGCATGAGTTACCACAATGGACAACAGTTCAGTACTCGAGACCGTGATCATGACTCACACAGTAGTGACTGTTCCAATGCATACAAGGGTGGTTGGTGGTATAACAACTGTCACCAAGTCAATGTCAATGGATTGTATGGACGTAGTGATGGAGACGCAACTGGTGTAGTGTACCGTCAAAACGTGTTCAAAAGTTTGAAGTTCGTGGAAATGAAACTAAGAAAGCAAGGATAAAACCCAAAGTACTACTAGATTCACTACACACACTGCGCTCATTTGCATCCAAATGCAACATACTGCACGTCTTAACTAGTTTCCTCTTTTCATAATGTCTTTAGAAATGCTTAGACCTCTTTCCACGCTTACAATTCCTTTGCAGAGAATCAGCATGCCATTCGACTCTCAGTCGCGAGAGTCTACAAACCATCGATGCTTTGTTTAACATAATATTACTGCACACATTCACTAAGTGAGTGTTTGCCATTTAAGGGCATTGCTCCAGTTCCTTCGCCACCGTAAAACACATTGATCTTCTTGGAGCGCTTTCGTTTTATACTTTTTATCAGCGAGCCATCGTGGTTTCAAGAATACGATCACTCTTTGTAATGAATGGTACTTTTCCTCTCTACTACAATCACCCGCATTCTCTCACTAACCACCTGAACATTAACCGTCTAGCGCTATCCACTTCAACTGTTTTTGTTTTGCGTGACTAATTGCTTAAACCAAACACACAGTAGAATGACTCGCGAGCAAAAGCTGACGTTCAATTGAGGGGAAGACACACTATCAAAAATGTCTGTGACATGCACGGTAGGTAAGAACTGTTTCCTGGTGCCTCTATATCTTTTACTTTGAACTATGTGCGGCTCCTCCGCTATTACCTTAGACTGGGGGTGAAAGTTGGCAATGAGATCCCGAGTTTCGCTAGCTTATATACTCTCCCTCGCTCTATGTTGCGGCACAGTAGCTCCTTTGTTCATGTAATAGCTGGCCTACTGTAACAATTATGACTTTGCTAGCCAAATAGCTGAGCCTGCAGTCACCTCACCAATCATCTCATATTTTCAGTGTTCCTTTTATTTTACTTTAACAATTTCGCAACCTCTCTCTCCCTCCCTCTCTCTCTCTCTCTCTCTCTCTCTCTCTCTCTCTACCTCTCTCTCTCTGCCTCTCTCTCTCTCTCTCTCTCTCTCTCCCTCCCTCCCTCTCCCTCCCTCCCTCCCTCCCTCCCTCCCTCCCTCCCTCCCTCCCTCCCTCCCTCCCTCTCTCTCTCTCTCTCTCTCTCTCTCTTTCTCTCTCTCTCTCTCTCTCTCTCTCGCTCTCTCTCTCGCTCTCTCCCGCTCTCTCTCTCTCTCTCTCTCTCTCTCTCTCTCTCTCTCTCTCTCTCTCTCTCTCTCTCTCTCTCTCTCTCTCTCTCGCTCTCCCTCCCCACCCACTCTTGGTGCGTCTAGGTGGCTATGAAGTCGAGACCCTAGGTCGGCGGAGCTCCGTAAACCTCACCACCACTGCCACGATTCAGGTTGTGCGTGCTTCCCCTAGCTGCATCTCATGTTTGGCATTAAGTGGTCTTTGTAAAAAAAAGAAAACAAAAAAAAAAAGTTCGAGTACTCTGATCTTCTCCGATCGTATATTCGAGTAACAAAGGGGAAGGACAAAATGTTACGAGTTATGACTACCGTTACTTCTGGGATAAAAGTAACTGTCTACAAACGTTGGTGGACAGTTAGGCATAACTCGTAACATGTTGTCCTCCTTTTTCACCATAATTTAATTGGATGGTGGCACCATCCGAGTTGAAGACAGAGAGTAGAGGAAACATGGAAAAAGAGAGCAATACCTACATGTAGATACTAGATAGGTGCGATTAGACTGAGTCAGTAGTCCACATTCAGTTCTCGGCACGCAGGTAGTGGTATACCTGCATCTTGAATGCCTGCATTCGGCTGCGATGGGGAGGATGCAGGAGCAGATCACAGGGCAATACATTCCACTGGTGGAGCACACAGTGGGGAAATGATCGCTTCAGGACTAACGGGGTAGAGGCTGGCGTCCAGGTGAAACTGGTGGCCGGCAGCGCTGGCATGGTCGCTCCGGGTTCACGGGGTGGCCAACTGCTGACGGCGAGCTGGCAGAACCGCAAGAAGTTGAGGTGGGCCCGTAATTACTTGTAGCTTGTATAAACAATCTAGGGCAGCTACTGTCCGTATGATTGCCATACTGGGCAGGATTGCTCCCGGACCGATGATTCTGAGGGCGCTGTGCTGGACTCGGTCCAGTCGGCTGAGTTGGCTGGGTGACGCTCCAATCCAGATAAGTAGGGCGTACTCCAGCAGGGGACGAACGAATGCCTTGTAAACTGGAAGGATCCGGTTCGGAAAGGTCCAAGAGGGGAAGGAACGTGCAACGAAGAAGAGCACGAGCTACGCCCCACGGCAACAAAGAATGCCGAAAGTTACTGGATAAAGAATAAAGTAGTTCCACGCGACGCACGTTTCGCCGTATATGTCATGACGGCTCAAAAGGTGTACGAACTCGAACTCGGATGGTGATCCAATCTTATTATGGTAAAAACGGGGAAAGACAAAATGTTTCGTTGTATGACTAACTGTCCACCAACATAACCAGATCATAAAAGAACGAAACAGCATGCTGTCCGCAGATTGAGTAACCAGATCATATACAGTTAAGAAGTGCGACAAAATGGCAGAAAACTGGCAAGGTGAAGTGAGACATTCAGCGACCTGACACGTAATTCCAACATGTCTCCAAGGTACAAACCAATAACCTTCCAACACTGCAGGATGAGGCTCGGAAATGTCTCAGTACTCCTTGTCAGTTTTGTGCCATTTTGTCACACTCGCTGACTGTATAATTATGATCTGGTTATGTTGGTAGACAGGTATTAATCACTCTTAACATGTTGTCCTGCTCCTTATTTAACATAATTAAATTGGCTCACCATCCGAATTCAAAGATAGTAAATGTTAGGGATTTTGTGAGTTCAAACTTTAACCGCAAAGTTTTGTTCCACAACAAAGGTCATGCAATCAGTCTGCAGGTGAACTGAGGTAAATTGACAAGGAGAAGTGAGACAATAGATATCCTTAGCTAAAAAAACGCTAACGTAAACGCAAACCTTTCCGTACTTCGGATCGTTCAAGCTGACTTTTCCCTTAGCACAAAGTACGTTATAGTTGAGACGAAGTAGTCGTGACAACCATGGCGATTTGAATTTTCGTGGAACAGGTGCGGGAAATTCAAAATTTTGAACCAGGGATTAGTTTGCTGTCGTTCCGAAAGAATACCTTGGCCAGGTATTTTGCTCTGGAATAGCAAAAGCACGGCGAACATGAGTTTTCGCTGTTCCCAGGTCCTTGGAAACCCTTTCCTAAACGCAGCACCGAAGACTGTAGGGGTTCTCCAGCTCCAGCACGTCTGGGAGAGGCCGATGAATTTCTTCCTCAGGAGTGCCGTGGAACTGGTCCTTTGTTTCCCAGATGGGATAGAGGGAGAAAGGCACGAAGCAGAGGACGCAGAAATTGTCAACTGAAAGGCAAAACTCGCCAAAAAGCTAAATGTCACAAGAGGAAGCAATCTCGACTCTCGATCTCATCTCGATCTGCACGACGTGCTTTTTATCTCCCGCCAGTTACAAAACAATGCAAGTTTTTGCATTTTTTGCAGAATTTCCATAACGAACGTCGGCCCGTTATTTTGAGCTCTGTAACGTTTTTCCGTTATCCGATAACGTCTTTTGTCACGGCTGGGAGTGAGTACCGTAAAAGTTAGCGTTATCGTACTTTTGCTAAGGATGTCTATTCAGCGACCTGACACGTAATTCCAACATGTCTCCAAGGTACAAACCAATATTTATTTATTTATTTATTTATTTATTTATTCAACATCTCCTGGCCCGTCCGAAGACTGCCAATAAACATGAGAGGTCAGGTGATAGCCAACCACGGCAAGCTAAAAAGGGAAAAAAAAGAAAGATGCTGTCAGAGAGGGAAAGGAGATAGGGAGAGAAAAAGAAAGGGAGGCACATTAATAATACATGGGATCACTTCGGATGAGACAGTGTGGAAAGCTGGACTGTGAATTTCCTGATATCCTGGCATGTCTTAATGCTAGTAGGCAGGTTAGACCAAAGGGAGTATGCTGAGAAGAAAGGGGATTTCAAAAACAGAGAGGAACTAGCTCGGGGCAGTGATAAGGCATTGCGTGTTGGTCTAGTGGTAACAAACCAGTTGTACTTGGCAATATGTTTCGGGACTTGGGCTAGGAAGATTTTTTGAACAAGGATACAAAGATGCTGCTGTTGTCGGGCAAGAAGAGGGTGCAATAACCTTCCAACACTGCAGGATGAGGCTCGGAAATGTCTCAGTACTCCTTGTCAGTTTTGTGCCATTTTGTCGCACTCGCTGACTGTATAATTATGATCTGGTTATGTTGGTAGACAGGTATTAATCACTCTTAACATGTTGTCCTGCTCCTTATTTAACATAATTAAATTGGCTCACCATCCGAATTCCAAGATAGTAAATGTTAGGGATTTTGTAAGTTCAAACTTTAACCGCCAAGTTTTGTTCCACAGCAAAGGTCATGCAACCAGTCTGCAGGTGATCAGAAGTACTGGCTGATGGAAGAATAGTGAAGGGCTTTGTCATGAGCATTGGTACACGACACCACTACATTGGGCAACATAACTATCAGCGGGATCGTACACAAAGGAGAGAGTATGGGCCAGAATGCTGTACTTGCGCACACCAGATAAGAGAGAGCGAACTCGGGATGGTACTTTAAGAATAACAGCTCGCATGTACCCCATGGGGGAGATCACCCATTGGGCTAACGCCTCTCTCGGCAAAAAAGAGTTAGAGAAAACGAGAAATATATGACATACACATCTTCTCCATTCTGTTATTGCAGGAAAAACTACATCGATTCCACCATGAGCCTAGGCATGAGGAATATAATATTAAGTACAGAATGTTATTTATCAAAAAGATATTTGAGTAAGCGCAGATATTTTAGGCATGATGAGTTCGTACATTGATTCACAATGCCGAGCCAAGCTTCCCTGTCTTGAGGGATAGCTTCCGCCTCGGCAATGGAAACGTTTATTGTCTTTAAGTCATTCTTGATGTTGTCGATCCATCTGGTTACGGGGCGTCCTCTGGGCTTCTTGATGTCTTTGGTGTCGATTGAAAGTCTTAGAGCTGTTGTTGTTGTTGTTGCTGTTTTTTATTTGAATTCGCAATACCAAACGGGCAATAAGCCCAATTACATGGAAGCGAAGAAAAGAATGCTAAGAATGAGGGATTGGGGTGGATGTTATTTCAAGTGGAAAATACTGATCCCGGGAGGTACTACAAATAGGTACAATGAAAATCTGAAAAGGCCATGGTACTGTCGTTTACCATGCTGGAAGCAGCTACATGAAGAAGGGAAAACAACAAGAAAGACGTTGAATCTCATGTATTGGACAAACAGAGCTAACAGGAAAAGACCGTTCGTTATATGCCTATACATACTGTCCGTGTGTGTGTGGGGGGGGGGGGGGCATGTCACTGTTTCTCTTCTTTTAAAAACGTTTATGGCCTGAGAGTGTACGGGTACACGGCTGCTGCGAAATCGGCCACGGCTTTGCAGGAACGTACACTGGCTGGCAGAGTGTTCCACAGCGCAGGTCCACGGAAGAACGGTCGGCGAGTGCCTGTATTCGTCCTGGCCAGCGGGAGA